TAAGTTTAATTGAGGGTTGATAAATCATTGATACATTCTTCGTCAAATTCTGCTTCTGTGCATGCCCAAATACACCATATAGCAACACAAATACACAAAGTATTGTTACCATGTATCTGCCTCACAATATGAATTAGTGAGAGCGAAAAAGAACTGAATACAAAAATATAGCCCACAAATAATGATTTTTTTTAAAGGAGTGGGTGATGACACCTGATTTTAAGAATAGCGAAACAGGACACGAAGACAGAACAGTACTAACATCATCAGCTAAAAGGGGACGCAGGAAAAAAAAGTGGGCAATGGTTAATAGAAACAGGATCGTGAGTGCAGAAGCTGGGTCTCATGGATATGATGAAGTCAGACAAGGCACAGAGGGAATAGGAGAGAAACTAGTAAAAGATGCAAATTCAGGATGGGCATTGTAGGAGGCCCCACAGGAAGTTTGACCCAGTGAATTAGGGGGAAAAATGACAAAGGCAGCTAAATATTAGTGTTCTCAAATTTAGCAACAAAGAATCTAAAAGCTCCCCATACTTATTTGAGGCTAAGATGGAATGGACAGGGGAAGAGAGATTTAAGACAGCTTTGTATTCTAGCATAATCCTGGAACAATTACCACATTTTCACAGAGGAGAGCTAAACCTGATAGTGTTTTATACGGTCCAATGGAATCTGGCAGTGAATGGCTAAACCAGTTGTCCACGATAATCACTGAAGTGAACAAATCACGGGTCACTTCCAATCTTCTCCAACGAAGCGCAAGCGCTTACCCCAAATCTTACTATTTTCCATCCAGGAAATGATCTGTATGCAGATGACACAAAACCTGGAAGAATTGTAAACTGTGAGGAGGACTCTATGATATTCCAGAAGGACACAAGTTGGTGGAGTGGGCAGATAGGTGGCAGATGAGTTTTAATGCAGACAAGGGTAAGGTGATGCACTTTGGTAGGAAAGGCATTGAAAGGCAACATAAAATAGGAAGTACAATTCTGGGGGAGGTGGAGGAGCAGTGGCATATGAGTGTATATGTGAAGATTATTGAAATTAGCGGGACAGGTCAGCAGTAAATAAAGTATACAATATCCTCAGCTTTATTAATAGGGGCATAAAGTACAAGAGGAAAGAGATGATGTTGGACTTGTATATGTCATATTATAGGAAGGGTATGAATACATTTGAAGGTGCAGAGGCAGTTTACAAGATTGGTTTCAGGGATGGGGAACTTCAGTAATGAGGACAGATTGAAGAAGTTGGGACGGTTCTCCTTGGAGAAAAGGCAGCTAACAGGAGATATGATAGAGGTTTTCAAAATGGAATAGTCTAAATAGAGTAGTTAGGGAGAAAATGACCCCCATTGTAAAAGGAAAAACAGGAAGAAGAGGACATAGATTTAACGTGATCTGCAAAAGAGGCAAGGGTGAAATGAGCAAAAACTTTTTGTTTTCCCCAGTGAGTAGTTACAGTACGGAATGTACTGCCTGGAAGTGTGGTGGATGCAGGTTCAATGAAGGCATTCAAAAGTGTATTGGATGCTGCTTTGGATAAAAGTAACATCCAAGAGTGTGGGGTAAAAGCAGAAGATTAGCACTAGGTAATAATGCTTATTTAAGAAGCCAGTGCAGAATATAACGCACGAAGGGCCAAATGGCCTGTTTCAGCACCATAACACTTTTGCGATTCCTGCTGCTACGTTTCTTTTCATGACATCTGGATATTTACATCGTGCTTCTTGCAAAGCACATTCTCTACATCTAAAAATCAATATATACTGTGTCTCCTGCAGTCACTTCATAAAGTGAAATGATAAATTGGTTGAATACATAACACTGAACTCAGACTATTCCTTAATAAAACCAATGGCATTCAGGTGAAAGACTTTTGTTGCCTGATGCAAAAGAACAAGCAATTGGAATGAAATTGCACAAAATCTATTGTAAAGAAAAGACCTTGAGTTATTGAACAGGCGCAACAGGTAAGATATTCTCCATGCACTGGTCTCTAACACTTCTTTCTACAACAGTCACTATCATGAATGAGCAGAAATAACATTTTAATACCTTGATACCTGGTACACCAACACTGTACACAAAAACATCTGTTAGTGTCCACCAATATTGAGTATTAACACAGTGTCCCTGCATCTGAGTACACACAACCATTGTACTCTCAATTGTAATACTACGGACTGGCTGGACTGCCTATTTACATGGTCTCAGTACACCCGAGTCACATACAAAATCCCACTCTAGTACCAGACAGGCTACTCCAGCTCTCTATATTAGGATTGGCTTGATCTCAGTCAGTGGTATCATGAACAATAAAGGAGGTTATCTGGGAATGCAGTGAGATCATGATCAACTGAGCCAGCAGGGAATGGCAGATGGAGTTTAATTTACATAAATACAATGTGTTGCATTTAGGTAAGGCAAACCAGGGCAGGACTTACACAGTCAATGGTAGGGCCCTGGTGAGTGTTATAGAACAAAGAAACCTAGGAGTATGGGTTCACAGCTCCTTGAAAATTGAGTTACAACTAGACAGAGCAGTGAAGGCGGCTGTTGGCATGCTAGCCTTCATCAATCAGAGCAGTGAGTATAGGAGATGAGATGTCGTGCTGCAGTTGTACAAGACATTAGTGAGGCCACAGTTGGAGTACTGCATGCAGTTCTGGTCATACTACTATACAAAGGATATTATTAAACTAGAAAGAGTGCAGAGAAGCATTTACTAGGAAGCTACCTGAGCTGAAAGACTTGAGTTATAGAGAGAGGTTGGATAGGTCGAGACTTTTTTTTCCTGGAGAGAAGCAAACTGAGGGGTGGCCTTATAGAGGTATATAAAATCATCAGAGGCGTAGATAGGGTATTTAGCAGACAACTTTTCCACATGGTAGGGAAGTTTAAAATGAGAGGGTAGAAGTTTAAGGAGAGATTCAGAAGACTCCATTCACACAGAGCGTGCCGCGTGTTTGGAATGGGCTGCCAGAGGTAGTGATGTAAGCAAGTACAATTTCATCATTTAAGAAACATTTACATAGTTACATGGATGGGATGGGCATGCAGGGATATAGACCAAACACAGGCAAATGGGACTAGTTTAAATTGAGAAAACTGGGCAGCATGGGCAAATTAAGCCAAAGGGCCTGTTTACACAGTACACCTCTATTACTGTAACTCCAGTCCCGATCATAACCCTGATCCTATCCACATCCTAGTCTGAGCCAGGTTGACGCCCCAAGGACTGTTCGATCCTGCTTCCCCATCCCAGATTTTCAACCTCTGAGCTGATATGATCCCAGCCCCTGTCCTGATCCAATCTTACTCCCTGTCCCGTAAAGCAACCTAGTCAATATCTTCAATTACCTCTCAGTTCCGGGTCTGGTTACTGTCCCCAATCTCCAGTACCAAACCGCAAATCTGTCAGTGGGGCTGTCCGAAACTGATCCCAATCCCTGATCGAATCCCAATCGCCAACTGGGGCTAGTTCTATCCTGATCCCTCCCATTTCTAATCATGACCCCAGCCTGGGCCGTGCCTCTGGTGTGACCCTGCCTCCGGCCATCAATTCACAGTTCAGTGCTAATACCTGGCCCCTTGTTCTCCAACCTTCCTATGCCCATACCAGACCCCAGTGCCCAGTCCCATGTGTCCATTCCACCACCAGATATCAGTACAGATTGCCATCCCAGACCATGCTGCTCATCTCAGCTTCTGTCCCGCTTGCTAATCCCAGAACCTGATGCCTATCATGGTACAAGAACCCAGTGATCGTCCCATTACCAGATCCAGTAGCAAACCCCTTGCGCGTTCAGATCTGATGTCCATCTCATCAGATCCCCAGTACCAAATCTCTCATATCAGATCACTAATGCCCATCCCAATACCAGATCCCTTGTACCACATCCCGAGTGCCCATCCAGTATCATTGTCAATGCAAATCCCAGTACCAAATCCGGTGCACCAGAACGCTAGTACCCACAGTGCCAAATCCATTGTGCCCATCCCAGTACCAGATGCCCTGCACCAGATCCCTTGCGCCAGATCCCTAGTGCACAATCCAGACTTTGATTCCCCGGCCCGGCCCCGGTGCTATCCTCACGACCTCTCCCCCCCGAACCCATCACGGACCCGGGCACGCGCTCAGCCCCCGGGACGCTCCCTCGCGGGGCCGCGCTCTCACCTTGGTGCACGTCAGCAGGCAGTGGACGTGCACGGACCAGTGTCCGGACAGCACGGTGAGGACGTGCGCGATGCCGAGCGCAGCCAGGGAAACCAGGCCGGCCTCCAGGTATTGGCTGATGCCGTAGTGGCACACCCACAGGTAGAACCAGGCGGCGTACAGCGCCGCGAACGGGCCCAGGGTCCCGTAGAGGGGCAGCGGCCGGCGACGGTACAGCGAGACGCTGTGCACCAGCTCCTCGGAGAAGGCGGCCAGCTTCGCCGGTGGGAGCGGAGGCGGAGGTGGCTCCGGTGCCGGCTCCGTCATGGCCGCAGGCCCGACACGGTGACGCCGCAGAGCAACCGGCATCGCTAGCCACGTGACCCCGGGCCTGGCAACCGCCACTTCCGGTACCCTTCAGCCCTTAGCAACCACCACTTCCGTCCATTGAATGCAATGGTATAGACTCCTGTCCTGTCTTTTGACCAGGTCTAAACAGCTCCCCCAGACATTATGAACGGACATTCTATCTCCACCTGTTTTATTGAGTTAACCGCTTGCCCTAGCGCCATAGTAAAGCAATTTTTTTGACTCGCTGGAAGTGGACATCTACCACCCGCCCACTCTCCGCATTGTCATTGGTCCCTTATTGCCGTATCAGAAGGCGGAATGGGGTGATGGGCAGTCACATTGTTCATTCAGGTGGCGGACCGGCGTTGGGGGGGGCGGTCCCTCAGTGGTCACGCCTGCTCCCCATGTGACCTGGTTGTATGGCCCCCCCAAGCTCCCGGAACCATGTGAGTGAAGGCCAAAGGCTGGGAGGGAGAGAGGGACGGAGACAGACAGACAGACAGGGACAGGGACATGTTAGCTCTTCCTGGGGAGAGAGGGAAACTCTAGGAGTACGGTGAGAGAGAGGAGAACATGGTGGGGTAGCTTTGAGTATACGTCCGTTCACTTGCTAACAACGTTCTAACACAGTCTGAGCCGTTCCTTACTTCTTCTCCTCATGGGACATCTTGCTTTGTCTTCCAACACATCCTTTAGATTGCTGCAGGACACTAAACAGGAGGGATGTGAGGGAGAAATGAAAGCTTTGTCGTACGACTGTCCTCAGATGGTATAACAAAACTGCATACTCCCAACCTTCATGTACACCTTACCCATTCTCCATATAAAGGAAAAGGATTGGTCCATTGAGCCTGTTCCGCCATTCAACTAGATCATGCTGATCACACCATTTTCCTGCATTATCCCCATATCCTTAATATCCGGAAATCCGTTTGTTCTCAGTCCTGAACATATTCAGTGCTTAAGCTCATGAAGCCCTCTGGGTAGAGAATTTCAAAGATTCTCCACCCTCTGAGTGAAAGATCTTACCCTGTCCTCGCCTCTGCGCACACCCACCTTCAGATCACTCTCTGTAGCTGGTACCATCCACTGGTGCTGGAGAACCTCTGCAGAAGGTGGCAATGCTAGTAGGAAACGGAATGGTGAGGCAACAATTAGGGCTCCTGCCTTATTGGAAATTTAAAAAAATACTTTGAAGGCTTGGATAACTGACTGGAATGTGTGAGGAATTGTGGCTTCCAGTGGTAAAGGCTTTGCAGGATCTGATAACTTTGGTGCTGCCAGTCTCCAGGCTGATGCTGCTGCTATCTTTCCAGCAGGCACAGTGTTAGAGGGTTATGGCAGGCTGGACGAGATAGCTCAATGTCGCCAAGCTGGGATCCTAGCAGCTGGAGTACAGAGCCATCAGGCTGCCATCATACTCCCACACCCCAGCTCTCTCACCTCAGGTTTACTGGGACTCAGCCAGGCTCTCAGATAAAAGAAAGGTAGATGATGACGACTTAAACTCTTTCTCGGCTACATCCTTCTTTTAGTTGGGAATTGTTTGCTGTAAAACAATGACAATAGCTTTAGTGCTTCCCTAATAAGCTGATTTCCACCAACTCCAGGTGACAATGGATGCCGCTGCACCCAGAAATCTGATAACAATTTGAAGTGGATGTTTGAACAAGCTCGACTGAAGGAAACCTGTCGCTGTAACTCGACAGAGCCAGTAGTTTGAATTGCAGTTGGGCAATGGGATTGATAGTCATTAAGGGAGATTTTAGAGCTCGAGTGTTATTGGTCCTAGCTGATACGTGCCAGGAATGTGTTCTTTGAGTTAATTGGATGTACTGTACTGTGGGGTGGAACTCTTAACTGAAATTCTGTGACAGTTTAAGCTGCATCCCGTTGCAACACTTTGATTATGAATAAATAATGTTTCAGGTCCTTGTTAAGATACTAAAATTTTAAGTCATCTGTTCAGATCAGTTATTCTTTTCCTTTGAAAATAATCGTATTTTTGTTAATACAGACTCTCAGTCTCCAATGGTATTTGAAAAGATTTCTTCATGTAAATGTACCCTATTTTCTCTTCCTCTCCCTTGTGCGTGTCTGATGTATTTTGTTTTACTGGCAGGCAAGCAGCATTTGAGATTACTACGCGCTACTGTTCAAAGGAAATGGAGGCGTATGGGCAATGTGTGGCTTCTAACCCGTCCACTTGGCAGATGGACTGTCACCAGCTAAAAACCAGGGTCGCACAATGCACATCATCACAGTGAGTTTGTTGGGGAGCGGGACCATTACCTGAACACTGCTGAATTGAGAATATGGGATGCAGCCAAGTGCTCCATGGGTACCACACTCACCTCTGAGTCAGAAGGCTGTTGAGTCAAGTCTCACTGCAGAGGCTAGGGCACGATATTTAAGCTAATTGCTCAAATGTACTGTTGAAGTGCTGGATTATCAGAGGTGCTTTTCTATTAGGTAACACATTAAATTCAAGTCCTCCTTCGCCGTCAGATAGAAAAGCTGTCTCTTCTGCAATTCATACCTTACGACAGTGGCTTCACTTCAGAACAGCTGTTTTGGAACACCCTATGATCATGAAAGGCACATTGTACATACAAGTCTTTTTGTCTAATCAGATCAAAACCTTAGCATAATTTATGTTTCTTCTCTAAGTATCTAAGTTTTCCAAATAAAAACCGAAAGAACTGTGAATGCTGTAAATCAGTAACAAAAACAGGAGTTGCTGGAAAAGCTCAGCAGGTATGGCAGCATCTGTGAAGAAAAAAATCAGAGTTAATGTGTCGTGTTTGGTGACCCTTCCTCAGAAATGGGTTCTGAGGAGGGGTTACCGGACCCGAAACGTTAACTCTCATTTTTTTCTTCTCGAATGCTGCCAGACCTGCTGAGCTTTTCCATCTAAATTTTTCAGCTCCTTGTTCTACACCTTTCAACTATTCCCACTGGTTAGCTTCCAAATGCCTGTCACATCCTTTCAGAATTTTAGAATACCAGTTTTTCATCTGGCTAACTGTATTGTTCGAAGAAAATAAAAACCACTGATCATTGCCTTTGGTAAAATTGAGAGTTTCATTTGATTCTTTTACAGCCTTATCAACCCAAGGTACTGCCTGGAAAATCAAATATACACCTCTTCCCCCAAAATTCTTCTGCTGTCTCAGCCTACTTCCAATTTACAATATAATTAGTGCTGCTACTACTAAACAAATTGCATCATGTCAGACTTACTGATATTGAGTTCCATTTGCCATTTTTGTTTTGCAAGTAAGAGTGGGAAAGGAGGGCTTGAACTTGATATGTTATCCAACAACCAAGCACCTCTGACAATACAGCACTCTGTCAGTATATTGCAACAGTCATATCGTGCCATTTTTTAGCTTGTTCTACCTCAGCTTATCAGCATCCTTTGCTCTTTGATCTTCCCTCGAATTGACAGACTTAATTTGGTAAGTTCTGCAAATGTCACCAACACTCCTGCTTATCCTGTAAGCAAATCTTAGAGGTGTCCATATACAGACATGGCCACAGCACCGAACCCTGCAGGATGGCCCCTACCTCCCTTTAAATCCATATGCCTTTGCCTTCTCTCATAATCTATGGTAACTTCTCTGCATCAATTGTATCAGCATTACAGACTAACATCTATGTATCTGCCAACTTTTTTTTCTCAATGCAACGTGATTAACAGGGTGATGATAATCAGATAATTTCTGTTCTGTTCTGAGGAAGAGTCACCGGACCCGAAACGTTAACTCTGTTTTCTCCTTCATAGATGCTGCCAGACCTGCTGAGCTTTTCCAGCAACTTTGTTTTTGTTCCTGATTTACGGCATCTGCAGTTCTTTTGGTTTTTAATTTGTGTTTGTGTTGTTGATCGAAGGATAGATCTTCGCTAGAACACTGGCAATAGAATCCCTACAGTGTGGAAGCAGGCCATTCAATCCATCAAGTCCACACCAACTCTCTAAAGAGCATCCCTCCTAGACCCACACCTTTACTGTATCCCTGTAACCCCGGATTTCCCATGGCCAATCCACCTAACCTGAACATCTTTGGACTGTGAGAGGAACATGGAGAAAACCCTTGCAAACATGGAGAGAATGTGCAAACTCCACACGGACAGTTGCCCAAGGGTGGAATCAAACCTGGGTCCCTGGTGCTGTGATGCAGCAGTGCTAATCACTGAGCCACCGTGCTACTCCTGCTCTTTGAAAAATAGTGCCATTCATCCATCTGAACAGGTAGACGGGGCCTCTCTTTTACATCTTAGCTGAAAGAGGACACCTCTGACCGTACTATCTCAATACTGCATTGGCATGTCAGCCCTATTTTTATGTGCTCCATGCCTGCAGGGGGACTTAAACCTGGATCCTGTGGTCCAGATTCCAGAGTTCCAGTGTTCCAGTTATACTAGAGCAGTTTGGCTGGAGGCGTAGCTAGTCCTGGAGCTTAAATTTTAAGTACTTTTGTTTGAATATTGTCCGAGCCTTTGCAGCATCCAGTGTTTTCAGTCATTTCCTGATGTCATATGGAGTGAATCAAGTTGGCTGAAGACTGGCGTCTGTCGTGCTGGAACCGCCGGAGAAGGCCTGGGGTGGGGGGTGGGGATCATTCACTCAGGACTTTGCACTGAACATGATTGCTCCTTTTTAATCTTGTCTTTTGCATTAACCTACTATACTCCCTAATCATTGAGAATAGGGATGTTTATGAATACTTCTCCCCTGGTTAGTCGTTTCAATTTGCTCTACTATATCTGTAATATGTAGAATGCATGTATTCCTGTGTTGGCATCTCATTTTTATTTTGCCTTGTGTTGATCCTAGCATAATCTCTTTGAACCAGGGTCAGTCCCTATCTTGATGATACTGATCAAGTACAGGATATACTGGGCCATGAGGTTACAGGTTGTGGTCAAATACAGTTCTGCCCATGATGGCTCAGTGTGACTTATGAATCCCCAGATTCAAGATGCTAGATCTGTTCATGATTTGTCCCATTTAGCAGGGTGATAATGTTTCGTAGCTCAGGGATATTCTCAGTGTGGAGACAATTTGTTTCTACAATGCATTAGCAATGGTCATTCCTACCAAAGCTATCACATACAAATGAGTCTACAACAGTTAAATTGGTGAGGATGAACTTCCTCTCTTGTTGGTTTTCTCATCACCTTGTACAGATCCAGTCTGGCATATCCTGGTTGGGCTTTTGAGCATTAGTCAACACAGCAGCAATGTCACCAGGCCACAGAGGCATAATATGTGCCATCCATATATTGCACTGCAGCAATTTTACCCAAAGCTTATCAAGATCACCTTCCAAATCTGTGACCTCTGCCACCTGCAAGGACAAGGGCAGATGTTTCACAGGAACTCCACAGCCTTCAAGTTCCTTTCCAAGTCCCTCACCATTCTTTCTTGGATATGTAGCATAGTTTCTTCATTCTTGGGTCAAATTCCATTGCAATGGTTTATAAGATGGCTCAGCATCACCTCCTTGCAGTCATGTTAGAATGGACAATAAACATGGCCTTGGTGATGACAGCCAGATACCATGAATGAATAAAAAAGAGTAGGAAACCCCACAGAAGATATAGAAGGTTTTCTTTAAATATTTGCAACTTATGCAACAGAAGCATCAAAGGTTTAGTTTGTACTTGTTATTTTTAATCATGTGAGATTGCTGAGATGTGAAACATTGGAGCTGTTGGTCATCACATTTAAGGGAAAATGGGAAAACTGCAAAAATCCACAAGGGGAAAGTAGAAAAGAAAGATATGTTGATAGGGTGAGATGAAACAGTGTGAGCAGAAGCTTAAACACCAGCTTAGACTAATTTGTGGATAGGCCATACCTGGGCAATTTTACACATAGCCAGGTGGTCCCAGTGTTGGTGTGTACTGAACAGGTTGGCACAAAGTGCAGCTAGTTTTGGAGTACAAGTCCTCAGTACTATTGTCGGAATGGGCCATTAGTGTTTGCAGTGTTTAGTATCATTAGCCATTTTTTGATATCACATGGAGTGAATGTAATTGGCTGAAGACTGCTATCTGTTGAGCTGGGGACATCAGGAGGAGGCCAAGTTGAAATTATTTGGCAGTTCCAGCTGAAGATGAATACAAATGATTCAGCTTTGTCTTTTTCACTGGGGTGCTGACATCCCCCATTGCTGGTTTCTCTTCTATGAAACCCGTTGACTCTGCTCATTGCACTAAAAGCTTCTAAGTACCCTGCTATAATTTCCTTAAAAGCTTCTAGCATTATCCCTAAGACAGATACTAAACTAACTAGCCTGTACCTGCCTACTTTTTGTCTCCTTCTGACATTCCAGAATCAAGAGCTTTGTGGGAAATTCCGTCCAGTGCTATTCCAGAAGCCACTTCTTTTAGGACTCTAGGATGAAGTCTATCAGGGCCTGACTTGTCAACCTTTATTGTAATATTTTTATTAGTGTCTTTTCCTTGGTATTTGTGGTTTAAAATTCACCCTTTACTCTGGAGTTAGTGCACAACTGCACTTGTGTTTTCCCTATTTTTGTTTTGAAATATAGAAAATAGATAAAGGAGTAGGTCACTCAGCCATTCAAACCTGCTCTGTTGTTCCATATGATAATTGCTGATCATCCATTTCAGTCCCATTCCCACTTTCTCCTCATACCCTTTGATCCCTTTAGTCTTAAGAACTATATCCAACTCCTTGAATGCATTCAATGTTTTGGTCTCAACCACTTTCAGTGGGCAAAGAATTCCACAGGCTCACCATTCTCTGGGTGAAGAAATTTCTCCTCAACCCAGTCCTAAATGGCCTATCAGAAAACCTCTAAGCATATTTTAATATTTCTTACACCTCCTAAAGATGTGGCTTTTTCCCTGTAGGTTTTCTGTCAGTTGTTTTCCTTCTATTTTGGGTCAGCTTGTTTACTACGTATCTGTCTTCCATGTGTATCTTGCTTAATTATTATTCATTGCTTAAAGTGTTCCATTATTCCTGTTTCACATGTAAAGGCTGTCAACTTACAATTTGTTTTTGGGTTTAATTAACAAAATGGCTTTTTGGGAAATTGCCAACATATAAAAGAGTTTTCGTCTCCACCGGTTTTCAAATTCTCAACTTTTCCAGTCCAAGTTGCTCAACACTATCCAGGACAAGCAGCCTGTTTGTTTGGCATCCTGTCCAGCATCTTCAACATGCAATCGCACCATCACTCCGGCAACTCATTCCTTTTACAGCATCTTCCAAACCTGTGACCTTTAATATCTAGAAGAATAAAAGCAACAGATGCATGGGAGCACCACTCCCCTCAACAATAAGCTCCCCTCCAAGTTGCACTCTATTCTGACTCCCTTCCTTCACAGCACTGTGAGAGTTCCTACACCATATGGACTGCGGCAGTCCAAGAAGGCAGTTTACCACCATCTTATCAAAGGCAATTAGAAGTAGGCAAAATAAAAATACCAACATCCCATGAACGGTAGCACGTTTTCACATAACAGTGGTGGAAATGTGGAATTTCCTCCTCCAGAAAGCTACGGGCACTAGGGCAAATTAAGCTTTCAGGGCTGAGATTGATAGATCCTCATTGAGTTTGTGTATCAAAGGGTTGGTTGGCTCACATGGTTAGTGTGTACTGCAGGATAACCTGCTTCATTCCCATACCAGTTGAGATCATCCCTGGTCGCGCCCCACAACCATAGCATAAGCTCACTTAGCAGCCCTCTTACATTAAGGACGCAATGTGACAAGAGAGAATGATATTAAGCAAGAGGGAGTAATCTAGATAAATTGATTTGTGTTCAGAAAAGCTTACTTACAATTTCAGCAGGGGATAAGCAAGGAATATTGGCTTTTAAAATAAAGGGGATGGAGTATAAAAATAGGGAAGTCTTGCTAAAACTGGTCAGACTACAACTGGAATACTGTGAGCAGTTTTGGGCTCCAAATCAAAGGAAAAATATACTGGCATTAGAGGCAGTCCAGGGAAGGTTCACTAGGATGACCCTGAATATGGAGGGACTATCTTATGAGGAGACGTGGAGTGGGTTAGGCCTCTACTCATTGGTGTTTAGAAGAATGAAAGGTGATCTTATTGAAACAGAGAAGATTCTTAGTGGATTGTATGGTAGATGCAGAGAGGTTGTTTTTCTGTCATGGGAGAGCCTAGGACCAGGGGGCATAATCTCAGAGTAAGGGGTTGCTCTTTTAAACAGAGATGAGGATTTTCTTCTCTGGGATGATAGTAAATCTATGGAATTATTTATGGTAAAAGCTGGGTCATTAAGTATATTCAAAGCTGATAGACTGATTTTTAATCAGTAAGGAAATTGAGGGTTATGGGGAAAAGGCACAAAAGGAATTGAGAATTGTTGGATCAGCCATGATTGCATTGAACAGCAGAGCAGACTCAATGTACTGAATGGCTTGCTTCTGCTCTTTCATCTTATCGTGTCATACAAGGCTCATCCTGTTGCTATTGGCTTACCTTCTACATAGCATATGCAGTAAGGATTTTACAGAGTCCCAGAATGCTTTTTCACTGAGGATTTATATTTGTGATTGACATCCAGGATGTGGGACACCTAATAAGCACTAGGCGGTTTGGGCTTAGGGGTATATCAAAGAAGCTGGGTGTGTTGGTGAGTCTGTATTCACCCCTGGGGCTGAAGCTAGCTGCCATCCTTCACGTGGGTAAGATCCAGAGCTCCCATGATCACAACAGACTCAGAACACAACAGGTGAAAATTTGGGAACTGGTTGCCTCATGGACTTTGTGCTTTGAGGTGTGCAGGAAATTGGCTGGAGAGCTGGGGGAAGCACCTTGGAGAGCAAGAATACAACAGTATGTGGACAGATGGCAGCAGTAGGTAGAATTAAGTGGACACACTGTAGAATTTTAAAGCCCAAAGTGGGCAAGGAGAGATCTGTGTCAGCCCATTTGGTGCAAATCACATGGCTACTAAAAACAAGACTGACTGAGGCAATGCAAAGAAAACCATTGTTTACCTGGAGGGGAAGGCATTGGATTCTTTTGAACAAAAATTAACTGGTAAATTGATAAATAATGACTTAAGACATCCACTGGTGTGGCAGACCACTGTGACTTTGTGTAGGATTCTAATATTCCTGAATTATTCCTGAGATGATCCCATATAATGTTTATACCTGCTCATATTTCCACAAAACTGCCTCCTGCTGTGAGAGCTCGGAACTGACTTCTTGTCTTCTCTTATAGCCCAGTCATTCAGAAGATCCGTGCAGAATGTGCAGAGCCCTTCCTGGCTTTTGAACAGTGTTTGAAGCAGAACCAATCTTCTGTCGTGAATTGCACAGACCATGTCAATGAGTTCCTGGCCTGTGCAGAGAAGGTCAAAATGCCAGCTTTAGGTAAAAGAATTTCTCTAATTGAAAGATGTTACAATTCCGTTGAAGGTCAGTAATTGCAATGATGCAGTTTGGTACTGCAAATTCTTCATTGTCAGAGGTGTCCTCTTTTAACAGAGGTCCCATTGCGACAAATAGCGAATTTGAAGTCGTAGTTCAATTCAAACAACATTAGGACAGTCCATACAAACATTCAAATTAAGAGCAAGAGTAGACCACTGAGGCCTTTGATCCTGCTCCTCTATTTAATAATATCGCAGCCTATTTGATTCTAACCTCAACTCCACATTTCCACCTACCCCCAATAACCTTCCACCCCTTTTACTTACCAAGAATCTTCACAATATTCAAAGGTTCTGTTTCCTTTGAGGAAGGACATTTCAATCTTCTGGGAGAAAAACATTTTCCTTATCTCTGTCTTAAGGTGGTGGTGTTAACATGTATCTGCCGAATTAGATACATGTGAGATGCAGCGTGCCCTTCAGTCAATTGTCCAAATAGGTAGCATTCACATGTCACAACAGTGTGGTGTTCCATAGGAGTTGTCTCAGCTAGTGCTTATTAGGTGTCCCACATCCTGGATGTCAATCAGAAATGTAAACCGTACTGGACTTTTCCTTTATATCACCCATCCATTGCCTAGACACTCAGGCAAATCTTAGGGTGAATACTGCCATGCCATCTAAGATTAGCTCATCAGCCTGACTCAGAAACCTACTTTGTCTAAGTCACTCAGCTACTCACCAAATAACCCTGCTAACTTACCATTGAGTACCTTTGCTATCTGTTTCCTATTCTGTAAATGTGATCGTGAAACGTATGGGTAGCTGGGACGAAATTTTTGGCTTCCAATGCCCTAAATGCAATTGACACAAACCAGGGGAACAATTGATGGCTGAGTGCATGGATACACAATGTTAACTGAGAGGCTTCCAGCCTGTTTGTTCAGTTCCTCATCCTTACCCACTGATTGCAAGAATCAGTGTCCTCATGTAAACAGTTACATTCCACATGAAAGGCAAGTGTGCAGTGTGTTTCCCCAGGAAGTCAGTGATACGACCATTGCTGTACTATAATGACCCAGACTTTGATATGTAAACCATCATTTCAGAGTCTGCTGATGACAGTGAACTTGGGAATGTAGTAAATCACCAAGTTACCTTCAATTGCTCCTTCCAAACCCTCAGCCACTTCCAACTAGAAGGACAAGGGCAACAGATACATTGAAACACCACCCCCTGCAAGTTCCCCTTCAAACCACTCAGCATCCTAACTTGGAGATATGTTGCTGTTCCTTCAGTGTTGCTGGGTCAAAATCTCGCAATTCCCTCCTTAACTGCACTGTGGGTCCCTACACCCACAAGGACTGCAGCAGTTCAAGGACACAGCTCAAGACCACCTCCCCAAGGGCAGCTAGGGATGAGCAGTAAATACTAGCCCAACCAATGACACCCACATGCTGTGAACAAATAAAACATGCAGAGGAAGAGCAAAACACTGCAGGAGACAGGACTAGGGTGGGGAAATGAGTAGGAACATGGCAAAGGAAATTTAACATAGAGATGATGGTGATTTTTGATTCTTTCTCCTCATGCTACCCATTTAAACTAAAGGGTATAATGTTAAAGGAGGTGTAGGAACAGTGAGGCACAATGTGCTCAAGTCTTTGAAAATGCCAGGAAAATTTGAAAAGGCCATTAACAAAGCCCAAGGAAAGCTTAGCCCATTTGCTTTTATGATTCATGTGTCAATTTATGAGGCTATGTTAAATGTTTGTAAAATAATAGTGAAGCAACAGAAGGTGTGTTGCAGGCTTGCTAGGCACTGCCTTTCAGGAACAACGTTGATGCTTTATCTCCTCCTTTAACTCTTTCTGTCCCCTTATGTTGGCCCCTTAAAATATCCTTCCTCGTGTCCCTCAAAAACAACCCCCTTGACTTGCACTGTCCCTTCACCAACACCACCCACTCCCCCGCCTCATCATCTTTCCAAACTCGGATTAGGAGTGGATTCTGGATCCATGATCAAGGAGTGAGGCCTCAAGCCCGATTCCCACCTGCCGCCGATGTCATCAGTATCGCTGACATCTTCAGATATGCTGATTTTGTTGCCATCTTTTTTTAAGACTACCAGACCATTTCAGAAAGAGCAGACTTTCGCAGGAGGCCTAATGTGCATGCTCCATGGTGTCAGCAAGTTCTGCCTGAGGCTTTAGGAAGACCACAGAGGAGATTTATTAGAATGAATCTGACATGAGACACTAACTATTGGGGAAACTAAAGCTGGGGTTATTCTCCTTATAGACAGAGGAGGTTATGGAGAGATTTGAAAAATATTTTCAAAAGCCTGGTTTTGGTAGAATAAATAAGGTGAGATTGTTTCTGGTGATAGAAGGATCAGTAATCCTGAGGTGTTGCATTTTGGTAAGGCAAACCAGGGCAAGATTTACACAGTCAACGGTAGGGCCGTGGGGAGTGTTGTACAACAAAGAAATCTAGGGGTACAGAATCATAGCTCCTTGAAAATGGAGTCACAGGTAGACAGGGCGGTGAAGAAGGCTTTCAGCATGTTGCTTTCATCGGTCAATGCATTGAGTATAGGAGTTTGGACGTCTTATTGCAACTGTATAAAACGTTGATGAGGCCACAGTTGGAGTACTGCGTGCAGTTCTGGTCACCTGACTATAGAAAGGATATTATCAAAGAAAGGGTGCAGAAAAGATTTACTAGGATGCTGTTTGGACTGTAAGATTTGGATTATAAGGAGAGGTTGGATAGGCTGGGACTTTTTTCACTGGAGCATAGGAGGCTGAGGGGTGACCTTATAGAGGTTTATAAAATCATGAGAGGCATAGATAAGGTAGATAGTCGACAGCTTTTCCCTATTGTAGGGAAGTCTAAAACTAGAGGGCATAGGTTTAAGGTGAGAGGTGAGAGATACAAAAGACTCCAGAGGGGTAATTTCTTTCACACAGAGGGTGGTGAGTGTCTGGAACGGGCTGCCAGAGGTAGTGGTGGAAGCAAATACAATTTTGTTATTTGAGAAACATTTAAACAGATACATGGATGGAATAAGTATGGAGGGATATGGACTAAACACAAGCAAATGGGATTAGTTTAAATTGTGAAAACTGGGTGGCATGGGTAAGTTGGGCCAAAGGGCCTGTTTCCATGCTATAGACCTCAAAAGAAAATCAGAGGATGCAGATTTAAGGTGTCTGTCAAGTGAACTGGTGGTGACATTAGAAAAGAAAATAACACAGTAATTTGTTGCAATCTGGAATTAACTGATGGAAAGAGTAATTGAAGCAGACGCAAAGAATACCTTACAAAGGGAATTGAATAATAACTTGAAAGAGTAAATTGACTGAGCTATGGGGCAAGAACTGGGGAGTGGAATACATTGGGTAGCTTTTTCAAAGAGCTGGCACAGGCACAATACATTATGCATCAAGTGATGACCGTATGTGCTGAATCTTTCTATGTTTTATTAGTTGTGCCTTTGTTCTAGTGCTTTACATAAACTCTTATATAGAGGACACAATCAATGCTGGTGAGTAATGGCTGTGGTTTAGATAGCAAAGTTATTTGTGTGAAGTTATTGTTGTGACACCAAAAGCAAGGTCAGCCAGTTATTTCCTGCAGCCAAGAGTCTTTTTTTTGTCGTAGTATAGATTGCTTTTCCAGCAGGGAATGGCAGGATGTGGGCTTTCTGCCAGTGACTCTTAACACAATGGCGCAACTTGAATGGGTCAGTGTGAAGGCATATAAATCGCAAAGCCGGAGGCTGCCCTGTAAGGAGCAAGAGGCACTCGTGAGAGCTGCTTATCTGCTTGCCAAGTTAACTTCACCGAGAGAAAAGAATTCCTCAAATTGGAAGCTAACACTATTCAAAGGTTAGAAGTTTGTCCATTGATTAAAGTTGAACATTTATAGAAACATGTAACTTATACGCTTAGCCAAAGCAAACATAAGGTTCAGCCCTAAGTGTCAGTTTTATTATGTTTCATGAATGGTTTCTCACCTCAAGCCTTGCACATTTTCTCATCGTGTTATACCAAACTAATCTTATTAACTACTTGACGAGGCACCTCTTTAACACCCAGGAGGGCACTGTAGTGTGCCCTGGACATGGCAAACTAGGAAAAATTAGTGCCCAACTTTGCAGACAGGGCCTAAATATAGTTGGGGATTTAAATGAACCTAATACCGTAGCATCACAGTTACAGGCCAACTCCAGTAAAATAGGACTAGAATAGATTAAAAAAAAAGATAGGGTTAGGGCAAATGCAATGAGCTGAAGCTGTATGACTCTTATGGTCTGGAAGTCCTGTGTATGAGGCTTGCTATTCTCCCCCACACTAGGACATCAGTGGAGACCACATTACCAGGCTGTGATAACAAGGTGTAGAGCTGGATGAACACAGCAGGCCAAGCAGCATCAGAGGAGCAGGAAAGCTGACGTTTTGGGCCTAGACCCTTCTTCAGAAAA